TCACGGTGGCTAATTTATGAAATAATGTACTTCATGGCCATGTGTTGTCTATAGTGGCTATAGTTGAAGGATGGACCTAATTTGGTAATACTGCCATTTGACTTTGTGCAAAGTAAAGCTGTTTTCATGATAACTTTGTTGCATGTAGGACTTTCTCATTTTATGAAGTGTCCCTTGCTATCTGAACTTTTTTCTGAGATTCTCTACATCTGTGAGTTTGGATATGAATGATGCCTATGTAAAGACATGGGAGATTTTGTTATAATTCTGTTGGACATTGTCATTTGGGGAGTCAGTTTCTCTACCAAGGTTTTCGATATAATATTGGTTTTTACACAGCAGTTTTCCAGTACTGGTAATAAATGTTTTAAAGGTAAATTGTCTTTTCTTTTTGTGTGTGTGTACAGCCTGGAGCAAGTTTGGAACAGACACACATTTTTGTACTCGCACATATTCTTAGACGACCAATTATAGTTTATGGAGTAAAATATTATAAGAGTTTCCGGGGAGAAACATTAGGATATACTCGGTTTCAAGGTAAGCCATTCCTCAAGATTCCTCTAGCAGTTTTGTTTACTATGACCATATAGTTGTAGCTTCAGAGCACTTACTTATGGGGAAAAGGTCAGAGGAGCTGCTGGGTTTCAGGAGGTTAGAACAGTGGGGGTGGGGTTTGGGTAGTAGATAGGTACTTTCTCCTTTTGCTCTTGTGCTTTTTTTCTAGGAGTTTATCTGCCTTTGTTGTGGGAACAGAGTTTTTGTTGGAAAAGTCCAATTGCTCTGGGATATACAAGGGGCCACTTCTCTGCTTTGGTTGCCATGGAGAATGATGGGTATGGCAACCGAGGTGCTGGTGCTAATCTGAACACTGATGATGATGTCACCATCACATTTTTGCCTCTGGTTGACAGTGAAAGGAAGCTCCTCCACGTGCACTTCCTTTCTGCTCAGGAGGTAAGTAGCATGTTGTCTTGTTACCCCAGAAACCAACCTCCTGTGCCTTCCAGAAGTGGTGGCATCTTTAGTATGTGATAGGAGCTGTCCAAGTACCCCCCCCCCACACACACACACCAGTCAGAGAAAACTGACCTTTTCAAAATTGAAAAGGCAGCAGGCTGGTTATTGAATTTATGACCTAAATAGAGGTAAAAGGGGTGCCACCATGTTAGTCTCCCCAGGGCTGGGGTAAAGGTGTGCTCTATCATGCACCTTTTTTTTTTTTTTTTTTTTTTTTTTAAGGCATTGTAAGGGGACTGAGTTAAAAAAAGGGCATGGGCATGGCCCTTAGGGTTCTGAATGAGCTAGAAAGTTCAGAAAGAGATTGGATCTTTAGTTTATGCCAAAAACATGGAGAGGCAGCAGTGTGTAAACCAGGCAGTGAGGATATATAAAAGAAGACCCAGAAAGCCTATGTTTTAGAAAATTATTGGCTCTTTATTATATATTCTAGTAATGACCACAAAACACAGTCATCAAGAAAAATAGTTCATAGACCATGACTTGTACAATTCTAGCCCAAATGTAAACTTAACCAGGGAACTTACCTTGTCATGTCTGAAGCTCATAATTTCTGTAAAGGTTATGTCAAGTAAATTACCTAGTTTTTATGAAGAGGTTATTTCCTAATTTTGAAAAAAAAAAAAAAAAAAAAAAAAAAAAAAAACCCTCCTGGCTTTTAATGATGAAACTGACAAAAGGTTGTAGTTAGGTTGAAACAGTTGTTTGCTTTTACTTTTCCATTTTCACAGCAGCTTCAGGTTATTCCTGCCAAGCATCTGACCTGCTGCTGTGTTACTTTCTTTTCTTCATATTCCTCTAAAAGCTAGGTAATGAGGAGCAGCAAGAGAAACTGCTCAGAGAGTGGCTGGACTGCTGTGTGACTGAAGGGGGAGTTCTAGTGGCAATGCAGAAAAGCTCGCGTCGGAGAAATCACCCCTTGGTCACACAAATGGTAGAAAAATGGCTTGACCGCTACAGACAGATCCGGCCTTGTACATCCCTGTCTGATGGAGAGGAAGATGAGGATGAGGAAGATGAATGAAAACAAACGCACTTAAGGAGCAAAAAGACCAAGGCATCAGATCTGAGATGACCCCAAAATTAATTAGTGTGGTATTTTCAGCAGAACATACAGCATGGAGTGAGCCACACCCTGCAGGATCTGCTCCCAAGTATCTTTCTGCTCCACACCCACTGGAGATAACGAGTGCATCTGCATGAGGAGATGGAGAACTTTGAACTACAGTTTGTAAAAAAGAAAAAAAACAAACAAACAAAAAAACCCACACCAAACCCTAATTTTATTGATAGAACTTTTTTCTTTCAAATTGTAAATCTGTCTATGAATGTATCGCATGTGGTTGTGTAAGAAGTCGTGTACTAGGAAAAGTGCACCAGCATCTTCATGTTATTGAGAACATTTCCCCAGCATGGGCACTCATAAAAAGCACATGGCAGATAACCTTGTTGAGATACTCTCATTAGAACCTGATATCCTGCTCCCACCATAAAAGATCCATTTTCCATTGTTTCAGAGATTTGAAAACTTTGTACAAATTATCCACGGCAAGATAAAAATAAACAAGCCTTTATTTTATTAATAATTTAGTTCCTGTTGTGCCCAATAAAATAAAAATCAAATCCTTAGGAACAAACTGCAATAAAAACTAGCAATTTTTTTTTTTTTTTTTTTTTTTGCAGTGAACTTTACATAGAAATTGTCTTGTTTTGAAGAGGGTTTTGGTTTCTGTTGTTTTCAAGTTTCCTGAATTGCCCCTTTTGTTATTTAGATATTTGTTTGGAAGAGTGCCCTATAAAAGGGGTTCTTACTCGACTTTGGGCAGGTGCATTTTTGCACTTAGTCCCTGGATGGATAGAACGGCTGAGCAGGCCCGTTTGTCACAGGGTGGATTGTGTGACTGTCACTTGGACTCAGACCTGTTCAGCTCCCAGGTGGCCATACAGAGGGTCTTCAGATTCTTCCTGTCTTTATTGTCACCTCTGCTCTAAAGCAGATGCTGTATCAAGGGCATGCCTTTGCTTAGGCTGATTGGGAATAGAGTTCAGTACAGAATAAAGATTTTTTTTTTTAAATGCAGTAAGGTGGTCAATGCATTGTATGATCAATTTCTCTGTGTAGTCTGAGAATTTTGCATGTTGGTTAGTTGTAGCCATTATTTAAAGTTAAAACTATAATCTTTATGGAGTTATTTGACCACTTCAGGTATGTTAGTATTGGGTAAACATTTCTGACCTATCTCAGGAACACGACACATAGTTTCCCACTAAGCACTTAGACTGACGTGGCAAGCAGGTGCTACATAGTAAACGCACACTTCCCCTTTTCTTTCCCTTTAATGAAAAGGCTGTGAAACCTTTAAATCTTGTTTTCTGATGAGATGGTATTAAAGTGTACACAACCTTCATTTTTCTGGAATACTAAAAAAGTACCTATGAGCCGTTATGTCTTTAGTTCTTTTTCTTGTGAACATTCAGTAAAAAGGTGTTCCCAAGATGAAAGGTCATTTATGCTGCATGTTAAAACCTGGGAAAGTAGTTTTCACACTAGGTGACTCCATATAAACGATTTGTGGTATCAATAATGGTAAATGTTACTGTTCCAGTGGTTAATGTTTTCCTGCAAATTGACTATCTGGTTTCCATTTTGATCAGTGAATGATAACCAAGTCTATATAAGGCTGCTATTCTAAGTACTTAGCTTCTATAGCATCTGTAATACCTGTTCTCCATGTGTACAGTTGATTTTTTTCAGGAGGCAGAGATCCAGTTAAGCAAAACCTTCTCTCCCAAATGAAGAAGCCACAGAGAACAACAGGGGAAAACTGGTCTCTGGGTGGATCTGTATTGCACCCAAACCTTGTGGTGTAGTCAGGCTCAGGACTGAGCCTTGTTCTGTGTACTGTGGTTTCCTGAGTGTCCTTTCCCAAGTTTCCCCTGTATTTATTTATTTATGACCGGTGACTCTGACCACATATAATTTGATGGGTATCACACTCTTCCCTGTGGGAAAGAATTAGAGATGGTTCCATTTCTCAGGCTCAATACAGAAATGGGGCCTTACATAGTTTCTGTAGCAGACTGACTGGCTGTGAAAGGCCAACACTTTTGGTAAATCAGTGCTATGTTAAGCTCTTGAACTAAACCAACAGCCATAATTATTGTCCCAAAAAAGTGTATGCCGAACTTTGTTAAAGATTATACGTGGCTGGGTGACAGGTGTAGGTATCTTTAGACTGACTCTGAAAAGTAATACTTTTATAACTGCGTGGACTTTGGTTCTTTTTTCTAGGGTGACACCAGTATTTTGTTTTTATTCTGATGTTGTCATTCTTTGGAGTCAGTTTATATATAATTATTTCTAAAGGACTGTTTGAGCAATCATGATCTAATTAAACAAAACCTAGGCACACCATGGATTCAGATCTGACTTCTTCTGTTTCTGATCTTTAGGCCCACTGTGTCAGACATAATGAATGTTAAGTAAAATGCTGCTGTGTAGACAGTTGGGACCTCTTTTTCATCTGTATTTGATCGGCTGTTTTTGACAAGACCTGTGATTGTCAAGGGAGTGTTCTTACTACCTTACTGCTTTCCATGTGTGGTCATTTTATAGGGCAATTAAGATAGGGCCCTCTTGAAGATAGGCCAGGCAGTTGGGAAGGATAAGGAAAGATTTAGAGTGTAAAACTTGGAATTGTGGGACGTAAAAGCATTGAACGTTATTTTAAAAGGTAAGTAGAACTTCAAAGTTCTCTGTCTGTAGCCACAGCGATAATTATTTCGCACCCCCCCAAAGAAAAATTCTAAAAGTTGACCAGTTTCTAGAATTTACTTCACTCTAAAGCACTGCCTCATCTTTGACTAATTTGGACTTCCAGGTCAGACAGTGTCACCACAAGAGTTGGAAACTGGCTGGTTGTCAATGTGGTGACATCTCAAGGGCTAACTTTTATAGGTGAGATGTACTTAAATGTCAGGACTTAACAGAAATTTTAATTACTTTTATTGAAAACTGCACTGAACGCTAAATGTCCACCTTTACAATAAACAAATACAGTAACGGTAACTCACACTAAAACAAAACATACTTCTGATAGCCATTATTTTTCTGTTTGGGACAGTTTAAAGTTTTTCTTTTGTCACAAAAACAGGAATGTACCTATACAAAGGCTCAAAATAGGCCATCTTTAGAAACAAAAAGGCAATGATTCACAAAAGACTATGAATAGAACATGTAACTAGCTGATACAAATCTAATAGGATTTGTTAAAATCAGTCACATCTAATAGCACATCTGAAGTGTTCTTGTATAAAATATCACGTGAAGAAAAGAATTTATCAATGTCTAAAAAAGTGGGTTTGTTCATAGACAATCTGACAAGTTACCATAAAAAGTGTTTCCTGAGACATAAGGAAATGCAACATTATTCTTCTTGAACCCTTCTTGTCCAAGACTTTCCACTCAATAAAATAGCTGAGGATCTGAAACTGAGAAAATATATTTGAGTACAAACAGCTTGTGAAACTTAATACTTTTTACTTTTTGTTCTTTTCCTTTTTTTGTTTTTTTTTGTTTGTTTGTTTGTTTTTGCATCATCAGAGGGTTTTACTGAACTCACAACCAACTTTGCCTGCTCAGAGTTGAGAAACTTCTATACAGGAACTTTTTACTTCTTCAATCCTATACATGTAGATGTCTACACAGGCAAACATGTCCTCCCCCATCTTGTCTTAATTAATCTTCCTACCGGTAAAGGAGGCAACCAGCCCCTGGAGACCAAAGGGACTAGTCTTGATGGGGGTTTCCTCTCTTTTTTTATTAATAGTCAGAGCTCTTGATGCAACACTCTAGAGCAAGTTGCTCAGGACCTGCCGTGCCCAAGGGACTGATAAAGGAAAGCTCTATTTATTCTTTGTGATTTGATGCACAGATGAAAAACTTAACACACAATAACAGAAGTTGGTCGTTAATAAATCACGTCCTAGTTTTTCCACACTTCCAGAAGCAGACACCATCTTCAGTATTCAATCTTTTGTAGCTTTAACACTGCAACATCAGTGATGTCCAGGATCAGTTTTAAAGACTGCCAAATTCCTTCTTAGTTCATCTGTTTGCTACTGTCTCTTGGTCCCAAGTTTTTCTGAATGATTACCTTCTCTGCTATTGCTCGTTGGGGTGCTCTCGATTGTCCCCGTGTTTTGTGGGCTGGTTGGGGGAGGGAGCTTGGGAAGGATGTGCCACTGTGGGGAGGTTGTGAGTCACCGGGATGCCTCCTGGGATGATCCCTTCCATAGCTGCAGGAAGCCCTCCTGGAGCCACCCCAACAATGCCTGGGGGATACCTGAAGGAGCACACAAAGGCTTGTTACTGTTTTCCCCAAAGCAAGGTGAAACTAGGTTTTTATGTAGAACTGTGGGAACCTAGTTTTAACTGTGGAACTGAAGTTTTAATTACAGCTGGGCTGGTTTTGTGTCTTTTAGACAATAGGAAGGTATCCGTACATACTAATTACTAACATTTGTGGATTTGTTTAAAGCACACAAAACAATATACAGGTTAGACTCAAGGTTACTTTTGGAAAATACCAGACTGATTTCCCTGCAGATTTCACAAAGTACTCTAAGTTATGTTTTCAGGTCCTATTCTCTAAAGTGCTAGAAGATGTAACTTTATAGTTACGAGGAATGGCCAGACTGCCTCCAACAGGATCCTCTACAGGGCGTAGCCATGGCTTATTCTCAGACTTCTGCTTCCAGAACTGAGAAACAGACATGTGGTTCATTAGCCACTGAAGAAACTGATGTGATGGTTGAACTCAAAAGAAAGTGGCTCCCTAGGCTGATTGGTCCTGTGTTCCTCGCAGAGGAGGACTGGTATAGTAGGCTGTTGGTCCATTGCCTCTCTCTGTATGTGGAGATGCCACAAGACACTATGTATATGAGGATGAGCTGCCTACAGAGCACATGGGTCTAAGGTACAATGTGACTCAGTGTATAAACTCAGGAGACCAGAGCTTTGTAAGTAAGGTAGCAAGGATGGAAGTCCCAGCACCTCTCCAGACCTTTAAGTACATTCTAAGCTTTAGCCCTTTGCAGTCCCATGGAATGTTGCAGAGGGCCAAAGAGTCTTATTTGTTGAAGGAATTGAAAGGGATCTTAAGGGTAAGCACAAACATGAATGAACAAAAGATTGTGCTGTAGTGTGTACAAGTGACAAAGTCCTTATGAGGTAAGCTAAGATTGGCTCTAGGTCTGGTGGCTCACCAGAACTCGGGGGTGGGGGGTGGGTTTCCATTGATTGGAGGCTAATCTGGATTAGAGCGATACCATCTGACAACACCCTAAGATAAAGATGAGACTGGGTGGAATGTAAAGACTCATGTGATCTATACGAATATGCATAGCTTCTTCAGAGCTTTATTACATATAAACCAAATCCCATCCTTCCCCACCTTATTCAAATGCTAGAAATAGAACTGGGAACACACGTCAATGTCCTGTCACATTTCTAGCTGTCTTGGAAGTGGGACTATCTATCACTCAACATTACAGTGTATAGATCAGCCATGGTAAAGGCCCATTTTGCCCCAGATAGGAATGTTGTTAAGTGTTCATAGAGCCAGGCTGTGGCTTCTTTCCCCTCAATGCTCAGTGAATTCATTTCCCTAGAAGCTAGCAATGATGGCAGAAAGGGATCATGGGAACCCCCACAAACAACCCTATTGCTTCCTTTAAGTGCATCTGTTCCTATTAGAAGGTTTTCCTTGGACAGAAGAGTCAAACCAGAAAATGGGATCATTAATACATTCTCACAGACTTGGTCTCACAGACTTGGTCTCATTATTCAAGAGGAAGCTCAGTCTGCAGGGGTCTTTAGCAGGGTTATATCACCTTAAACTTCAGAAAATAACTATGGAGTCCTTCTTGTCACCATCTCCTATACTTTCTGCATGGAATTTGCTGGGCCAGAAATGGGGCTATTAGTGCACATATAATCCTAACCCCTAGGAGGCTAAGGCTAATTTAAGGGCCCAGGTTACAGCAACTAACATAGGTCTTAATCCTAACCCCTAGGAGGCTAAGGCAAATTTAAGGGCCCAGGTTACAGCAACTAACTTAGGTCTGGGCTTTTCTTGCCTCCTTTTCTCCCTAAGGACATGATGATACCAGGTGCAGAAAACATGAGTTCTCCTTCTCACCTGTATGTGGCACCATTGAGCTCGGGATGAATTGCTTGCTGGTCGATGACTGACCACGGAGCTGAAGTAACGAAGAATTCTTTGTTGACACAGTTTCGCAAGCTTTCTGGGATGCGACCTAGAGTAGGTGGGTTATGATTAATCATATGCGTTATTTCACAAGCATGAGCTTAGTGTGTGTGTGTGCGCCATGGCACATGCCTGGCAGTGAGAGGACAATTCCTCTGTGAGGGATCTTGTGATTGATCCCTTTGGAAGTGTGTTCCTTTGACAGCTTGAGCCATACATTTAAAGCCACAGGACTTCACTGTTCTAGTGGCTTCGGCCTAAATCACTTATCAAGGGCGTTCTTGCTGACTGTTCGGCTACCCTCTGCAATAGGGGAGCTGGGTTCCTCTTTGAAATTTAGTTTTAGTTCGTAATAATAACTCAGCAGATACTTTTAGCCATCAGGTTTAGAGACAATGGCACCATGTTAGGGGTGGTGGCTGCTCACCTGTGATTGCTCGGCGGATCTCAGTGGCAGCTGCTTCCCTCATCTCTAGTGATGCTTGTTCACTGTACCAGGCTGTGTGCGGCGTGCAGATGAGATTTGGTGCATCTTTCAATGGGCCCTGAGCAAAGCTGGTGAACGGAAATGTATTCAGTAAAAATGGGAGAAGTTTAATACAATTACTACTCATTATGGGAGGCCTCGAGGCCATTTGGAACAGTAGCTGTGTAAGTTACCAGTAAACAGGGAAGCCCTGTGTCAGATTTCATTTGAACAGGAATTGGCGAACAAGTCACCACAACTATGACAGCAGGTATGCCAGACAGAAAAGAAGCTACTTGAGGGATCCCTTCTAGTCAGAATGAATATTCCAGGGTCGCAGATCAAAGACACCACCATCTTGCTTTTCTGTCCCAGCCCTCTCTAATGTCCTTTTGGGGATCGTTCCACAACACTGCAGAGTCTCAAAGACCCTGACTCTACTAAGCACTTTTACAGACTTTCCTGCCCAGTTTACTGTGTTGGAAAGCACTTCAAGTTTCAAGTGTTGGACTGGATTCCTGGTAGGAAGCTAGAAGCATCGCAGCCACACACATACCTGAAGGGCTCAGACTCGTGCACATCAAGAGCTGCTCCTCGTATCCTTCCCTCTTTGAGGGCTTGAGCTAGGGCTTTCTCATCTACCAGACCACCTCTGGCTGCGTTCACAAGGAATGCTCCTTGCCTCATCTACAGAAGGAAAGAGGAACCAGTCATACTGTGAGAATCTCTGGAAGGAGGCTTAAAATGTTGGGTCTGCTGTTTCAACTATGAGGGGCCGTTCAGGGAAAGGGGAATGGGAAGAAATGGAGGTCAGAGTGTTTCCCCTTCTTCACCGGGCCATGAGGTATGGAAGGCTGGAAATGTGCCAGTCAAGTCATTTGGCTGCCTGAAGGGATGGATGGGAGCCAGTTAGGCCATAACCCCTATTACTGATTATCCCAGGGGTCACTTCCCTGCATACCACTGTGCCCATGAGCCTGCTTCCATCCCTTCATGCCCGTGGCAGGTGCTGTTAAACTCTGGCAGAATGTAAACTCGAACCAGTTTACAGTTACTTTCCAGTTACCTGCTTGATAGTGAAGTCATTGATGAGGTGGTGGTTATGCTCATTCAGATTGCAGTGCAGGGAGACACAGTCACTCTGATACAGCAGGTCTTGCAGGGTGTAGACCCTTTGCACGCCCAGAGACCGCTCTATCCCATCCTGTAAGTAGGGGTCATAAAATATGACGCTGAATCCAAAGGCCTTGGCTCGAACTGCAACTGCCTGCCCCGTGCGACCTGTGCAGAGACAGAATATTTAGGTGAGTACGGCCTGCAGAGCCTGTGTGCTGTCCCCCTACTCTGTTCAGTGACCTGAGATTGTCGTTCTTTCTGGGAAGTGCTACCAAGTTACCATGCCAGAGTGTGTCCTCTGACTGTGATGATGTTATATCCACCACGGGGCTTTATAAAAGATGTATGTGGGTCTGTGCATTTAAGTGCAGGTACCCAGAGGCCAGAAGAGGACATCTGTGCTGGATAGTCTGTCAGTTTGACACAAGCTAGAGTTATCTGAAGGGAGAGAACCTCAATTGAAAAGACGCCTCTATTAAGATCCAGCATTAAGCCGGACAGTGGTGTCGAACGCCTTTGATCCCAGCACTCGGGAGGCAGAGGCAGGTGGATCTCTGTGAGTTTGAGACCAGCCTGGTCTACAAGAGCTAGTTCCAGGACAGCCTCCAAAGCCAGAGAAACCTTGTCTTGACCCCACCCCCCAAAAGATACAGCATTAAGGTATTTTCTTAATTAGTGAATGATGGGAAAGGACCCAGCAAATTGTGGGTGGTGCCATCCCTGGGCAGGTAGTCCAGGATTCTTTGGTCTCTGCATCATCTCCTGCCTCTAAATTCCTGCCCTGTTTATGAGTTTCTGTCCTGCCTTCCTTTGATAATGAACAGTGATAGGAAGTGTTAAGTCCTTTACTCCCCAACTTACTTTTTGGTCATGGTGCTTTGTGAGCACTAGTAATGATGACTAAGAGAAATTGGTACCAGGATAGTGGAATATTGTTGTGACAGACCTGACCATGTTGTTTAGGGGAGGATTGTGGAAGGATTTCGGAACCTTGGGCTAGAAAAGCTATTGAGTGTTGAGCACCCCACGAGCTTTTCTGTAGGAACTTGGAAGATAAGAATGTTGAGAGTAAGCTTGGCAGTGGTGTTGCACACCTTTAATCCCAACACTTGGCAGAGACAGGCTAATCTCTGAATACGAGTTCAGCCTGGTCTACAGAGCGAGTTCCAGGACAGCCAAGGTTACACAGAGAAACCCTGTCTTGAAAAACCAAAAAAGAATGTTGAGAGACGTGCAGATGATGGAGACCTGGCTTGTGAGTTTTCAGAAGGAAATTTAAAGACTCTAGCAAGGCTGTTTACTATTCTGGATAAAGATTCTGTCATTCTGGTGAGCTGTGATTAACAAGAGACGGAAGCCACTGAAGTGAAACCTTCATGTTGTTACTGGGACAATTGATACTGGTTAACCAGAGCTAAGAAATCAGTGGTGATTAAGAGGAGACCAGTATCATTAAAGTGAAATCTTTGTGGGAAGTGTTTCCTGAGAGTCAGCATGCAGAAGCTATGTTCCAGAAGTGGCTAAGGTTGTATCTCATGCTGGCAGCTGAACTTGGTAGTTAAGTGTTAAGTCACACAGGTGGTACTGGTTTTGAAGGCAAGAAGTGGTCATGAAAAGCAGCTGAGACTCGACACTGTGAGAGGCCAGGAAAGGACATTGGTGAAGGTGCAGCCTCAGTGGCAGTTAAAGGCCCAGAACTGAAGAAGTCATGCATAGAAGTTGAGGCTTGGCACCACAAGAAAAGCCTATGAGAGGTTACTGGTGAAAGTGCAGCCCAGTTGCAGCAAGGAACCCTAGCCATAGCCTAGAAGACAAGCTGTGCGTGCTGCAGAGGACAAAGCTGGAGTAGTGACCCAAGCCCCTTAGGGATGCCCACATCATGAGTAAATCACAGTGGAGTTTGGTTTTGCTCTGATAGGATTGTGACTGTGCCCTGATTCTTCCCTCTTGAAATAAGTCAGCATTTATTTGTTGATTTTACTAGAGCATACATTTGAGACTTTGAATTTTAAAAGACTTTGTATTTTTAAGAGATTAGCTATTTTAAAGGGGCTAAAATGTTAATACGATTGAATTTGTAAAGACTGTGGGACTTGAAGGGAGGCAACCTCAATTGAGAAAATGCCTCCCCAGTGTGGGTGCTGGGAACCAAACTTGGGCCCTCTGAGGAGCAGCACACACCCTTAGCTGATGTGCCACCTTCCAGCCCCAAAGGTCCTTTTATATAATTATTTTCCATGGACATTTTTAAAGTGATACCCAATTAGGACATCACACTCTCTTTCCTCAGGTCCAAACATCACCATAATGCCCCGGGTCCTGTTATTTCTCTCATCTTTGTTTATGTACCCAACTTCTTGACACTCTCTCAGTATGCGAACATCAATGTTTCTAGCCTAATGCCTGTTGGACTTGCCTTTAATGGGGGTCAAAACACCATTGCCCTAAGGCCTGACGGACTCTCCCTATTATAATATGTCAGATAGCAGACAGAACTCCACAATGGCTATCCTCTGCTCAAAGCCACTGATCCCAGCAGCACTTCCTGTCTCATGATGGTTTTAAGCTTGAAAACAAAATGGTTTGAGAGGGATTATGCAGGACTGGAATTCAAATAGGCAAACTACAAGTATACCTTATCTAAAACCCTGTTCTGTTGAAGCAGGGAGTAGTGATGCACGACTTTAGTCCCAGGACTTGGGAGGGGGAGGCGGAGGCAGGTGAATCTCTGAGTTCAAGGCCAACCTGGCCTACGTAGTGAATTCCAGAACACCCAGGGCTACATGGTGAGACCTGTCTCAAAAACAAGAGGAACAAAACCTGTTCAAACTGTGGTTAAGGTTGGTGTGACAGCTCAGTGGATGAAGGGCCTTGCTGTCAACTCTGACAATGACCCAAATGGTGGAAAGGAGGACCAACCCTGCTTGTTCTGTGACCTCCAAAGTATACTCTGTGGGAGGTGACACCTACATACAGAACCCACATAAATGGTTTTGAAAATGAGCAAAGTTAGAAGGGAAGGCATACGTCTTCATCTGGTAGCAGCAGACACTCACTCTTTGTGCTCTTTGCTATAACTGTGGAGTAATGAGGCCACTCTGACAGCGGCGGTGTCAATGTCATCTCCCTTATTGTTGTCACTTTGAGGACACGGCTGACCAGGAGCTAGCCTAACCGCATGGTAGGGTGGCAGAGGAGCAAGTATGACTGGACAGTGGAAGGAGGAAGGAAGTGTGGAAGTAAGGGCTCAGTGACATCCTTGAAAGGTGGGATTGGAGGACCCGTGTCTAAGCTGATAAATGAGTTCTTCTCTTAACTGGGTGTGCAGTTTCTTTATACTGTGATCTGAAGCCTTCATATGTCCAGGGCCTCGGTAGGTGGCAGAGGTGCTGGATCCCAAAGCCAGAACTAAACACACCGTGCTGACTCGGCCATTCTCCATGGGAGTGCGTTGCATCAATTCACACAAGTTTTCACTGCCTTCTACTCTTACCCAGAGCACTTCTGACTAAAATGCCATCAACATCGTGGTCTCTGTAGATGAAAACCCAAAGGCACAGGCCATGTTTAAGACAAAACCTCTTCGCTGGGTGTTGGTAGCGCACGCCTTTAATCCCACCCAGCACTCGGGAGGCAGAAGCAGGCAATCTCTGTGAGTTTGAGACCACCTTGGTCTACAAGAGCTAGTTCCAGAACAGCCTCCAAAGCCACAGAGGAACCCTGTCTCGGGAAAAAAAGAAAAGAAAAGACAAAAACCCCTCACTTTGGCAGACCACACATTAAGTGTGGCCCCTGTATAAAGGTGACATGATGTGAAATGTTCCAGTTTTTAATAAAACCTTTTTTTTTTCAATGCCGTATCTAAACCCTTGTATGCCAAATTAAAAACAAAAGCAAACATTGGTAGGCAAGTAAGTATCTAGACAGTTTTTATCAGTATGGCAGGCAGTGTGAGGGACCTTTGTCCAGCCCCAGCTTCAGGTTTCTTTGAGCCTCCTCCCTTGTTGCTCTTCAGCAGGCTGGCTGCAGCTCTGGGCAGCCGCAAACATCCTTTCTCCTGTCTCTTCACTACAGTTCCTGGGGGCCATAGACCATTAGAGCTATACAGGAAGCCAGGGAGACTGCAGCAGCCATGAATGTAGGGAAGCCAGGGGGAGGGCTTGGGAAAGCTGAAAGTCAGCACTCAGCCAAATAACACTCAATTACAAAAGCACATGTGATGGGTACAGGGACTCCAGAATGAGAGGGGCTTCTCACCGGCTGGCTCAGAGCCGCCCACAGGTTCTACAGCCTGATCAGAGACCATCCCAGGCCACAGAAGGGCTTCATAGGATGGCCACAGGAAGCACAGGAGGGTACTAGCAGAGAGTGCTATAGTACTCACACATGGTACCTGCATATCTGAAGACCTGTGAAACACCACAGAGCCTTCCCCAGCATCTTGAACTCTCACTCTGACTGCCCCAGAGGCCTAGGCTTGGGGTCCGGGGTTGGGGGGGGGAGGGGAAGAGTGAAGCTCTGTAGAAAGAGGAGCACTCTTGGAGTCATCCAGTAAATCCTCCCTCTTCTAAAACTGTCTTAGAAGCCCTGACCCTCAGCCAGCTCTGAGCTAAAGGTGATGCGAATCAGAAAAATTTCTGGAAGCCAGAATCAACCTATTCCATGTGTTCCTTATGCTGCCTTAGAGTCAAGAGGCAGCAGCCATGTATCCCCCTGCTTCCACCTAATGCTCTAGTTACAGAACGAGAAATGGAGGCAAAGAAGCCAAACAATTCCTTAAGGTTATGGAGTGAGTTAGTGATCGCAACCAGCTAGGAGTCCTATTGGAGTCTGTGTGGATAACAGCAGTAGCATGTGTCTATCTCACTTCACCGCTTAAACTTTCCTCGGTCCCCTACCACACTTGCTGGAGACTCCCAGGTCTCTGCTCAAATATCTCCATGGCAACAACCAAGTCCAGAAAGACTATGTCTTGTCCTAGTCTCACAAGAGATTTTCAAGCCCACAGCTTGGCATTACCCTCAGGCTTGAATCTTTAAGTGATTTCATGTTACTGCTGGGGGGAGGGGGGCATCTATATTTAAGAGCCTTCAGGACCTATGACCCAGGTTGCTGCTCACCACTAGTTACACACACTCACCAGTAGTAACACACCTTGTACTGCCAAACTTTTACCCTCTGCCTCAGGGAGATTTACCAAGCACAGTCCTTTCCAGTGACAGCAGAGGGTGCACTCCTGCTGTACCACTGGCCAGCAACATAGACAGATTCTTGTATAACAGGCCCAGATCTCACTACCGGTCAAGTTCTCTTATTATTCTTGACCCTTGACCTACCCACCCCCACTCCCTTGAACCAAGTCTGTCTCAAGAGGCACATACCAAAACCGATGAGGCCCAGTGTTTCCCCTCGGATCCGGGCAGCTCCCGATGCAACCTCACGGATCTGTTCCACGCTCTGAACCCGTGTGCCTTCTCGTAGGGCCTGGTACAGCCATGTGTTCCGCCGATACAGATTGAGGATGTGGCAGACAGTGGAATCGGCTGTCTCCTCCACTGCAGCAGATGGGATGTTGCAAACAGCAATCCCTGAAAGGGAAATGGCCAGGCCCAGAGGTGAGCAAAGTCCCAGGATTCTGAGGTACCCTGCTTAGAAATGGAGAACTACTACTTCCAGTCCGGGGTTGGGGCAAGTATTTGGTAGGCCCTCTTCGTCTCAGAAGTACTCACCACTAACTACACACATATCCAACATGGTTTATAGGTTCAAGTCTTAGCTCACAGCCAGCCCAACTCCCCTTCTTTCCAGTCCTGGTCTGAGGCCCAAAGGAGCCCCAGAGCAGGCAGAAAGATGGTGGGTGCTTCAGTCCCAGATCTATCCGGGACAGGCCTGGAAGGGTGGAGGGACCAGAAATCCAGACTCTTTTCCAGGCTCATTGTGGAGCTATATGGGCAAGAGATTGTTTCCACCTTATGCACCCTAATGTAAACCCCAATACCCTAGTCACTAATTACTGTTGACACCAGCTCCAGGCAAGCATGCTGACACACACCTCTAACCTTAAACGCTGAAGGCTGAGGCAGGAGGATCTTGACTTTAGAGTTATCCACGTTTCTAAAGCTCATGGTTTATCTGATTCTGGCAGAGAGCAGGAGGCCTGAGGCCTGAGGTGGACCTGTCAGAGAATGGACTAAGCCCCCAGGAAGGAGGGGTGTGGGCACCAACTTCCCTTCAGCAGGGGGTGTTGAGGAAAGGTAGTAGCTTTCCCTGCCACTCTTCAGGCCAAAAGGCTCCATCTTGATTGATAGTTGCCATCTGGGCAGCAAGGTGCAGCTACCTTTCAAGGTAGCCTTGGGTTCTGTTGGCTTTTCAAGACTGGGGGATACGAAGATCACCTAGACGGAAGGTGATCAATAGTCCCTTAAACACCTTAGGTCTGTGGTATTATGTCTCTTCTTGTCTCTTCTTGCTACCATGACTGCCCTGGGGTCCAGTGATGTGACTCCTCCCAATAAAACAGACAGCTCAAAGCGAAGGAGGGCACCATGAGCAGGCCATCCTCTCTGCCTGGCTGCAGTGGACTTCTCTGGGCTACAGATAAATTTGCTAAGGAACCTTGATGATGGAAGCTATCTTTCCTATGAGTTGAAGAGCAGTAATCCTGCAAAACACAGGGGCCCCATTCATTTGGAATGACTCAGCATGGGATCTCGGGCTATTATTATATTGTTATGACGCATTTCAGTCCTCTGAGAAAAAGCCCAGTGGGTGGTAATCAGATTCGGCTGTGTGCCCAGCTGTGGTTCAGGGATGTCATAGCTTAGCTGACCAATGACAATCAGTGCAGGCAGGCCCCCATATGATAAAGGCAAGGTGAGAGTTCTATATAAAGAGGGAGACCAAGGCAGGATGTTTGCTCAACTCAAAACCACAATGTGGATATGTAGCTTCTTGGCTCTAGCACCCTCGTGGAGAGGCGGAACCCAAGCCTGGGAATAATTAATAATTGGACAAGAAGAGGAACCATCTTGCCAGAAACGGCAGACAGCTGTCCGTTGATCATTGAAGTGGGTCTTGTAGACATGCCAAAGAGTTCAGTGGATATGTTCTCCCCAGGGTAACCTCCAAGTGCCAATTCCCATATGGTTCTCTGACGTCCCGAGAAAAAGACCATGGTTTTAAATGAGGAAATGAAGGAGTCACTGTAAGTGGCTCCAAATAGCTGAATAACCTTCTGAGGAGAGACCAAGGATGTTCCATTACCTGTGTTATGCATGATCTCTGGAGAACTAGGGTGTTGTGGGTAAGTGCTGCCCTGCATTAAACAGATTGAAGGGCTGCACCTATAGATACAGAGGGCTTCACACAAGACCCAGTTATCACTATCTGCTAGGTCCACTGTGGAGTGTTCCCTTCCAGGAACAGGGCACACCTGCCACTCGTCTTACTACTCTCCAAAGGGTCTGCTGGCTGACTTGATAGGCACCATATGTACTTAGAGCTAAATGACAGACACTGCTGGAGGACCATCTATTTCATTAGCAGAAGTCTTCTGAATAGCCACTCCAATCACAATGGGCCACAATAGTGACACTTCGTGTCCCCTTTACACTTTTCAACGCTCTGGCCCTAGGCAGTCTGTTTCTTGGACTCTGACTGGAGAAGAGGGGCTGACTACCAACAGGAACTATGTGTGAGAGACAATGGGCTAGAAAGCTGAATGTCTTCCTGCATAGTCCCAACTCAGGGAATTTATCTCTATTCCTGACAGACACACGTCTTTTGTTTGCTTTTTTTCTAGACAGGGTTTCTCTATGTAACAGCCCTGGACTGGAATTAACTCCATTGGCCAAGCTGGCCTTGAACTCAGAGATCTACCTGCCTCTGCCTCCCAGAGTACTGAGATTAAAGGTGTGTGGCCACTTCCTTCAGGCTCAGATACATATCTTTAAACACAAGCATACTTGCTCGTGTCTGGGAAACATCTTTTTTCTTTTCTTTCTTTTTCTGAGACAGGGTCTAAGTAGCTAAGGCTAGGCTCAAACTTGCTATGCAGACCAGGGTGGCCTCAAACTCAAGAGACCTCCCTGGATAACAGGTGTATAACACCGCACCAGGTAGTTTTCTCAATTAAACTCAGGTACGTGGCCTCACATCAATCACAACAAGTTTCTTCTGTTGCCAAAGAGGGGCTCAGAGGGGCTGTAACTGGAAAAGAACAAGGCTGCTTAGGGTAGGGACATAGGAAGCCATGATTACCCAGGACTCTCAAAAGCCCGGGCTGAATAGGACTGATTCTGCTTTACATGAGATGTCTACCTTCCCCTGTGAGGTTGCCCCACAGACATACTGTGGGCATTGGCTGGTGCCACCCGGCACAGCTTCCTTTGTCCTTTTCTTATCCTGGGGTTCAGGCTCATAGTAACTGCTGCTCTAAATGCAAAGAAACAGAAAACTAAAAACAGGCACCCACCCCTCTCAAAGCTGCAGGCTCAGACTGTGAAGGGAAGTTGGATCCAGTGCTGCTTCAGTGGCCAGCATGGCGGGTGTGTCTGGGTTATAGACAGAGCTGTCGAGTCTAGCGTTAGGCCCGGTGCAGAGATGACTGTGAGGCACTGCGCACACCTGGCTTTGCTGTCCTAGGAGTTAGTTCCAGGAGCCCTTGGGGTGAGGCAGCAGCAGGTGGTAGGCCCAGGCTGATGGTACGAGCATTACTATGCTCAGGCTGCTGTGGCACCATCGGTACATGGGTTTCTAGTTATTCTGAGGTATTTCAAATGCATGAGGCTCATGAATAAAGAGGCGGCACACTTTATTCAGACAAAATACGTGGCTCTGAGGCACTCCCCACTGACCCCCCCAGGCTCTGCTGCCAGTGTACACCAATTCTCATGGGGGTGTGGGCAGGAGTCCCCTGTGCCACTCAGGTACTCTACCTTCCTGCTTAGCTTTCTACCCGCCTGTGGTTTTCTCTGAGAAGCACCCTGGGAATGGACAGCAGGTGGTGGCCAGCTTCTTTTGGTGTGCTCAATGAAGAACTCACTAATCTACTGCTTATCTCAAGATCTTCCAGCCCCTGAACCTGCTTCGAGCTGAGGCTGGGCAAAGGTGCATGGGAAAATGGAAACAAGACTCCCTAGGACAACTGCCCTGCCTTCTGCGTTCTGCCCATTACTGAGTGTGGCCTCCAGGCAGCCAGCATGGCCTTTCGACTCACCGAGCTCACCAGCAGCCTTGATGTCCACGTTGTCATAGCCACTGCCAATTCTCACGTTCACACGAAGAGCCTTGAACTTCTCCAGGTCTTCCCTGGTGAGGGTGATAGTGTGGTACATCATGGCACCCACAGCCTCATTCAACACCTGTGGGCAGAGACATGAGTCACAGGTCAGAACCCCTGGGAACACAAGGCTCTGAGACTTTGTTAGCAGAAATTATAGGATGGAGACATGGAGTAAGTGCCTGAGGGTGGCAGAGTAGGCTAAGGACATCGGGAATTCCATACACTTTAGGCATTCCTGTGTGTGACTACTGTGCTTACTGACATCAGCTGGCCTGGAGGGGCCCAGGTAAGGTGGGGTGCAACCCACCTTTTCATGGATTTCCTGAGTAGACTGTGCATCACAGAAGGCCACAGTGGCCAGATCCTTCAGGATGGGCATTTCCACGGTACAGTCTCTGCCGTCGAGCAGTGCCACTAGGGGGCGGGGATGCAGGGGGCCGTTCATGATCTGAGGGCGGATACCTATAAGGAGAAGAAATGTGTGGTAAGTACACTGTAGGGAGGGTGTCCTCAGTGGCTGATGCCAAGGCAAGCAGAGAGCACACAAGTCTGGTGGAGCCAAGGACATGACACAGCTTTACCAGCTAACGGGGATGGGGGGGGGGCGGCAGCAGGGAGTGAGGGGTAGTGATGTTCCTAGATCACTGGAGGGTAAGTGCAGAGTTCTGGTATGAACTCACTTCGCTCTAAGACCCAGAGGGGCAATTGTATAGCTCACTTGAATTGCCCCATAAAGTAAAACTCTGGTCCAGTGAGATGGCTCAATGGGTAAAGGCACTTGCCACCAAGCCGCATGGCTTCAGGGTAACTGACTCCCACAGTGCAGGAGAGAACTGACCCCTGCAAGTTGTCCTATGATTTCACATGTGAACATACACAGACCCGAGAGCTGTGTCCATCTCCCTCTGGCACCCTCTCACTGCATGCAGAGACATCCTCACACCATACTGGCAGTCAGGGTAGACAGTGAGCCCAGAGTAGAGAGAATGTCTTTGTCCTGGTCTTACGGGAACAAGCTGTGTTGAAAGGGAATCTGACTGAATGGCAGCCAGACCCTGATATTATAGCATTCCCAGCATTCACCTGCCACCTGCCTGAGTGGTCGTGCCCCAAGTTCTAAAATCCTTTCATACTGGCAATGGCAAGGTAGTGAGCAGCAGGGTACACCCCAAGTCCTCACTGGCCCATGGCTCAGGTAACTGACAGGTTGGTCCTATAAGAAAACAAAGCCTCAGCCGGGTGTTGGTAGCGCACACCTTTAATCCCAGCACTAGGGAGGCAGAGGCAGGTGGATCTCTGTGAGTTTGAGACCAGCCTGGTCTACAAGAGCTAGTTGTTCCAGGACAGCCTCCAAAGCCACAGAGAAACCCTATCTCGGAAAAAAAGAAAAGAAAAGAAAGCCTCACTATCCCCTCTATCCTCAGTAGGTCCAGGTGAGGTCCCTGGAGGTGGCTGCTGTCACAGAAGGTGAGGTGACAGTGACATCACACAGTTGTTGATGTATTCATCCTGTCAATCAGCTACAGAGCACTGCTTGCAAACCAGATGAGCAGCTGAGGTATGTGAGGTTCTGATGCCACCCTGCCTTCTTTTTACTAAGGGAGCGTGCAAAACGGCCAGAGTCTAAGAACATGGGTTGAGCGTCTGGCAGTATCAGACTACATAGGTCAGAACTCCTTCCCCAGTCTCTCAAGAAGCTTGGCTTTTGGAAAGTGCTACCAGGATGGTTCACTGTACCAAGTCGGGAGTTCACGTATTAATTAAGGAGTAGTTTACCTCACCTTGCTAGTGAACAAGACAGTGCCAGGAGGAACAAGCCAGAGATCTAGAGCCATTCAGTACACCTGGAGTGGCTGAGAGCCTCCATCTAAGAGGTCCATCCACAGTCCCAGAGCATGTTATCTGTTACCTGGGTAACAGACTCCAGGTTGCCTAGCGATCAGTTCCCTCCCTGACATGGTCTCCTTTTTTTCTTTGGTGAATCCTTTCCTTTGTTCTTTCCATCAGGAGAGGTGGGTTGACAGTACCCTCAGGGCACCTGGCCAAGACCTAAGGTATGAACCCCAGTTGAGAAAAACTCTGATAGCAAGGCAAGGGAAGAGGGGTGGGGGGACAGGACAGGATGGGACGGGACAGAGACCTGTTGGGTGTGTAAGGATGCTGACTGGGGATGACCGGGCAGGTGGCAGTGATACCATGGAGCCTGGCAGAGGAGCCACCTAGCACACCTTAGGAGGAGGAGGGCTGGGAACCTGTCCCCCCCACCTCCCCCCAGTATCAGGGAATACAAACTCAGAGGCAGAGCCCTGGTGATCTTAGCACACAGCTCCTAGCACATCGCCCTCCCACCTGTTTCAACAGTTCTGATGAACTGTACCATTTTTACAGATGAGGGTGCCATGGGCACATCTCAGGGTAAAGTACATTTATATTAATATGATACATATGACCCTCAGGGGTGGGCAATCAGTCCTCTGGTTGGCCCCTGGCCTGGAGCTGTGGCTCATTTTTTCAATCGCCAGGGGAGTTTTTGGAGAAAGGAAGCCCAAGGCATAGTACCTAATGAGATGTATTCCAAAATGGAGTTTAGGTACTAGACACTGTTCATGGCTTTTCCACATAGCCAAACCCTGAGATTGACAAGGACCTGGCAATGCCGCCATCATTCTCCACCTCCCACATACTTGGGAGACACTTGATGATAAAGTGTTCAGTGACTATACAAAATGATGATATATCCCTCTACTCATCTCCAAAACTTGTTCTGCCCAATAACAATTAGGCTTGTTATGGGAACAGAGGCAGTGCCCCACCTCTGACGGCCTACCCAGCATCATGGGTGGGGCAGAGAACTCAGTTCCCCAGCTGTCAGTTACTAGCTGGCGCCAGGACTGCCTCTAAACAACATGGAACTTGCTCTCTATCTCTCTGGAACCATAGAGCTGCAGGTCCCTCGATGTAATATTGCTTGGAGATCAAACTGCTGAGCAGATCACATTTATGCCAGCCATCTGGCTAATACCAGGTGCAAAGGCCTTGTAGACCCCAAGTGACCTCTAGACAAGAGACATGGGCAGCTTCTGGCCAACCAGCCTCTGTGCCACTGTAGTTGGAAAAAGCATTGTAGGACACTGCATGTCCAGAAACACATGGTCCTGCTCCACATATACCAAGAGCTATGAGCAGATAAGCCACCGACTCCCTTCAAGTATTAGGATGTATGAATACTTTATAGTGTAATGTACACTTAAATTAACAGCACACGGATGACCCTCCAGGACGGAAAGTCGAGTTATCTCCTGGCTCGGGATCTACCCATGGCTGCCATGCTTCCCAAAGCAGCAGTACCAGGAGGGAAATGTGGTGATCCCGTCCCACAATCATGCCCTGTTATTTCTGAGACCCACTTTCCGTTTTCTTGGGCACTGTATGAATAAAGATGAAGAAAGGAAGGAATCCATTTCTAAAATGTGGTCTGAATCTATTTCTGTTGTTTGCCGATTAAGAACCTAGGTTCAGGGGACTCTGTGGTTAAGAGCACATATTCTTGCAGAGGACCTGGGATTCCATTCCTGGCTCCAACATGGTGGCTGACAACCAACCATCTGTTAACTTCAGTTCTAGGAGCTGTGTTGCCCTCTTATGGCCTCCCTAGGCACTGCATGCATCTGAGCCATACACACATACACAGGCAAGCAAAAATACCCATACATACAAAAGCCTTTGGATCACAAGAGTTTGAATACCGCCTTGCGACGTGGGCTAAAATGTGAGCATGTTTCCCAAAGGTTCTTCCCTGGGACTTTGGTCCTTAGTACAGTTAGGGTGTGTCCTTGGAAGGGAGCAAGAATTTGTAAGTTTCTCCAGAGGATGTTGTAATATATGAGCCTGTTCTCCCTGCTTCCTATTTCAGGTACTGTCACCATCCTCTATAGCCAGGATGTTATCTGCTGCTGGGACAGAAGCTGGCAATGTACTCTGGAAGTCCTGACACCTTACTCTAGCCAAGCTGGAATCAAGAGTCAGAGACCAGGAACTCATGGATGGCACCCAGACAGAGTCTCTTAGATGCTTAAGTTACTTTGCTGGAACTCTCTAGATGTTTCCCACCAGTTGTCGACTTTCTGGGTAGCATCAGATTGCCACCTGCAGGCCACTGATTTTTAAACTAACTTGCTGTGCTCTAAAACCTAAGGGATATATACCCAGGAATGGCGAGGTCAAGGCAGTCAGGCTGACAGGAAGTTAAACAGCCCTTTAGAGATTCCAAGATAAAAAGGTGTCGTCCATGGAGTCCTATGTGCCTAGCATGATACCTAGTCTTTAAATAATTCGTTACCAGCTCTGAGACCCATAAGATAACCGGGGAAGCTGCTGAGTCGGTCATATGGGTAGCTCCCAGCCTCACCCACAGGGGCATAGAACCTGGGAGGAAAAACCAGTGATGGAGATCTAAGAGCTGCTACCACCTGCAAGGTGAACCCCTCAGAGGGACCAATGGAGTCCCCCCCAGTGTCTTAAGACAAGCCTCCCCATTGGTTTGGACTTTTCCCTATTATATGGCCACTTTCCATTAGAACATAACCCTCCTGGATGGGCACAATTCATTTCTAGAAAGTCAGGTGGGAAACCATAACTGAACTGGTGTGTGTGTGTATACCAGAGGCTTGGGATTCACAATGCAAACCCAAAACTGAGGTTCAGGGTCAGGGTGAGGGCTGGATGCTGACACAGTGGTCATATGGCTCAGCCTCAGTGCATCCCCAGCATGCCTCTTGTTCTGCCAACACATTTAAGCACATTGCGGAACTGTTTCTGTCCTGCCAGTGTAGGGATATACACAACAGCAAGAAGGTTCTCGGGGCAGCAGTGGAGCCTGCAGCAGTTGCAGCAGCTAGCCAGGGAGCGGCCAATGGCACCCAGCTCCGTGCTGAGAAGCCTGGGATTCAGGTGGCAAGTCTTGCTAAGACTCACCTCTTTACATCACACCTTCTGTAAGGTCAGAAAACACCACAAGAATCAGCAGCCTCAGCTTTTGTTGGCACAGCTCCGAGGTCACAGGCCTCAGCACCAGGGTGCACCACATCACAAGGCCTGCTGAATCTTCCCGCCAGGCACTAGTGACCTTGACCTCTGTTGAACTGAGGGAAGGAACCTGAAGGTCAGTCAGTGTTTACCCACCACAGAAACAAGATGAGCCTGGAATGAAGCAGGGCCCCTTGGGGACACGCCCAGGAGAAGGAAGCAAGGACCACCAACACAAGTGAAGGCAACAAAACAGCTGCACAGCGCGGCAGGAGCCTGCTAAGAAGATCCCATAATCCCCTCAAACCCGAGGACTAAGCTGTGCTGGATTCTGAAAAGAGTGTACCATAAAATGCCTAGGATAAAGAACCACTGGCTAAGAGGTCTCCATTGTTTCTAGAATGATCTGCTAGGGAGCGACAAAACTTAGATGCACC